GCATTTGATAGGTTTGCATTAGAGAGGGCTGGGTTGGAGGGGCTGTGATAGGGACTCCCCCCTCCATGGCTTCCCCCCTCAAAATAGTACCCATGGCCCGGGGAGTGACTCAATGTCTGGGACCGAGCCATCAGTTCTGTTGACCCCATTGTCTGACCATTCTTTGATGAAGAAGGTTGACTCCCTCCATCTGCAATAACGTATCCCCCCGAATTTTTGCGAGATTTACCAGAGAAAATATTCTTTGGCAGAGAGGCAGTCATGCTACTGAAGGGGCCATGGCTAGGGCTTTCTTTCCCATTCCGAGCCTTCCCTTCCTTAGATTTCTTGCTTTTACTAAACATTTTGATTTATTGCGTCTAGTCACCATGAAATTATGCACGAACTCATTATCCTCTCAAGTGCCAAAATTATCATCTCCGCAGGGGCATGGCGATAGATCTCAATCAGCGAGGTCCATCACCAAGAAGAAAACCTTTCTCCGGTCAAACCTGCCAAAGTAAGTCACATTCTATGTCAGCATATATTAGAATAACCTTTTCCCCAAAGTCCTCCAATCCAACCGGCCACATAAACGCCTACGAATTAACTTCAACATTTGCAGACAACTTTTTCTCAGCAGCCCGTCTTTAATTAATATTTATACACTTTCTACTTCCGGTGTTTAAATATTTAAGAATAAGTAAAACAAAACGAAGAAAACATTGTATGTTTGCAAAAATCAGCATGTCCAGAATTTCTTTTCGTAGATTGATTTCAAGCATTAGAAACTGTATTTTATCAAGAGATTGTTGTTTATAATGTGGATTTTTTTTTACCTATGCCATTATTTCTGCAGATGAAACATAGAAACCCGTTGGGTTCAAATACAAGCAATGTTCGATTTAGTGTTCACTAGACAACATTGCTAACGCACCACCTACGAGAATTAATATTTTTTTTAAACCTGTTTATGATGCATTTGGTATATAAATATGTTGCTTTAACAAAAAATAAGCAGCCCCCCCCCTTTTTTCACAACATTACTTTTACTATTGAAAATGTTCATTGAAAGGCAGCCCCCCCTTTTATACTACGGTAAAGTGATATAAGGGAAATGTATTATATGCCCAAAAATTTGTACTGAAATAAGTCGACACCTGAAAAAATTTGGCCTCCATTTGTACATTTTGTACTTATTAAGAACTCAGAAATAAGTTACACCGTATGCGGCGTTTGACGCTAGAAGAGCGTGAAAAAGCAGACAGTATGGCGTCTGCAGGGGGTTCCTTTACAGAAATCTGTAAAAAATTAAAGTAGTGGCCAACTTTTTCTAAGGCCAACTTCCTTTTGCTTCCAATTTCTTTGGAATACAACACTACAATTCTTTCATATCACTATACGGTGGTAAGAAGGGGAGGGGTAAAGGTATAGTAATTGGTCTTCGGACAAGAAAGTCATTCAAGTTTTTTTTCTTGAAGCCAAGACATTTGTCAATCCCACTGCTTTGGAAATAATGGCATATCATATACACTAGTACCGATCGCTAGATCAGCAAAATAAATCTGAAATAAGAGCTAGTCCTCATATGTTACATTATTACGACACCTTTCACTAAGGGATTCTCATTGAAAATCGTTACTTTTGAAAGCTAATAGAAGATTTCTGATTTTTTTTCTTATGTCACAACAGAGACCTATATACTATTAGTATATAGGTCCCTGGTGACAATCTACGATTTGGAGTTCAACACTTGGCAATACATCAATTTTACATCCAGCAAACGGTTGTTTAAATCATTTGATTGTTACTACTGTAAACAATGTTATACCCAGAAATGTTGCGAGAATCAGATTTAGAGCTTCCTAGAATATCCCACCCCATCCCACCCCACAACATTTGTGGACAGTTTCTCTAACATTTTTAAATGTTCGGACTCGATCAATTTAATTGAAGTGTGAACATAAATAAAAAATTCTATCCTCTCATACATGTAGGTTAATTGTATTTCTCTCTTTCCTTCTTCTTCTTCTTCTAAAACTTCTTCTTCTATCAATTTATTATTTTAATAATTAACGCTTATTTGGTTCCTCTAAATTCTAATCGTCTCAACTATATATAGATTGGCAAATAGATTTCGTTTTGTTGATAATTTACAATATACTCTTAAATGTAGATTTGCTCTGATTGGCTCAGCGCAGTGAGGCGCCATCATTCGAGAATGTAAACATCAAAATTCAGATATGGAGAAAATGGCCTCTTTTGGACAGGTTAAATACAAAATCTTCTACCATTTTCATTTTAGTGTTCTAAAGATTTTTACTCATGTTGAGTCATTCAATGTTCTGCTATATTTTAAATATCACTATAGATAAATGACGACTTACAGTGACCACTGGTGACAGTGTTTGAATTAATCAACGAACTTATCTTTCTTTTTGTAGACAGAGTATTCACACGACGAACAAGAAGCAATACAAAATGCACTGAGACAGAAACTAGGACCCGAATTTATAAGTCAGCGTGCTGGAGCTGGGGGGCAGAGGGTAAATACATACACACCTCAACATTTCCATATTTACCTAATTACATGTACAGATGCGGATTATCTCTTCATCTAGTCATCTACCCATAAAGCTTAAGTTTGTTGATGGTGCGACTATTATGGCAAGCCCCATTCAGCTTGAGTTTTCATCGATCTCTTCAAACTTCACATGAACATGACACCCCATGACCATGATGAGTTGAAAATATAGCAAAACAAAGCCAGAACAGTGCTTATTTTAATAGAGTTTGTTTTATCTAAATCAGCTTAGTTTGTATTTTTGTTGAGCTTTTGTTGCTACAGCATGAAGAATGTAGTTTGTGACTATAGATGCAATTCGCAAAGCATTATTGATAATGGGACCAATTGTTAACATGATTAATGTGAAAAAAATTCAAGTCTTTATAATATGGTTAATAAGATAATTCAAAATGATTGGAATGGTGGAATTGCTATAGCTTTTAAATTATAAAGATAACATTTCATATTAGCATGATTAAAATCAGTGAAACAAACCCCCCAAAATGTTATCTGTATACAGTTTATTGTTAATTAGTGATCAACTGGTGATGACAATATTTTCAGCTTGCCTACATAGAAGGATGGCGTCTCATCAACCTTGCCAACGAGCTGTTTGGGTTCAATGGCTGGTCCCACTCAGTCTCACAACAAACTGTTGGTAAAGTTTTTTCCTATCATTAAAGACTACAGTGGATTTTATTTCATTGTTTCTGTGCCTTTTTCTTAATATCAATGTAAGTTATCTTTATCCTATGTACTTTCTTTCTTGCAGACTTTGTTGACCACAGTGGAGGGAGATACTTCGTAGGAGTCAGTGCTTTTGTCAAAGTGCAGCTGAAGGTTTGTCTGTCACAAGTTTTAGATTCAGTCTCCAATCAACTCGATTTGCCATTAATCATGTTAATAGGTTTTTTTTTAAAAAGTTACAAACACATCATGTAACAAGACCTCAGAAGGATTTTAAATACATTAATTATACTAGAAACTTCAGCATATAAGCATAACTAGCTTATTTTTTAATTCTTCTATAAAGGTTTTTTTTTGGATAGGATGGTGTGTTCCATGAAGACATTGGATATGGTGTAAGTGAAGGAATGAAATCCAAGGCTCTGTCCCTAGAGAAAGCAAGAAAAGAGGCTGTCACTGATGGGCTCAAGAGGGCACTCAAGTGAGTAGTTCAAGTAGGCACTCAAGTGAGTAGTTCAAGCGGGCAATGAAGTAAGTAGTTCAAGCGGGCACTCAAGTTAGTCGTTCAAGTGGGCACTCAAGTGAGTAGTTCAAGTGGGCACTCAAGTGAGTAGTTCAAGTGGGCACTCAAGTGCATCGTTCTAGTGGGCACTCAAGTAAGTAGTTCAAGTGGACACTCAATTGAGTAGTTCAAGCGGGCACTCAAGTGAGTCGTTCAAGCAGGCTCTCAAGTTAGTAGTTCAAGTGGGCAATTAAGTAAGTAGTTCAAGTGGGCTTTCAAGTTAGTAGTTCAAGTGGGCACTCAAGTGAGTCGTTCAAGTGGGCAATTAAGTAAGCAGTTCAAGTGGGCAATTAAGTAAGCAGTTCAAGTGGGCACTCAAGTAAGTAGTTCAAGTGGGCACTCAAGTGTGTCGTTCAAGTGGGCACTCAAGTAAGTAGTTCAAGTGGACACTCAATTGAGTAGTTCAAGTGGGCAATTAAGTAAGAAGTTCAAGCCGGCACTCAAGTGAGTAGTTCAAGTGGGCACTCAAGTGAGTAGTTCAAGCGAGCACTCAAGGAAGTAGTTCAATAAAAATTTGAACTTCTGACTTGAGTGCACGCCTGAACTACTTCCTTGAGTGCTCGCTTGAACTACTCACTTGAGTGCCCACTTGAACTACTCACTTGAGTGCCTCAAGTGAGTAGTTCAAGTGGGCACTCAAGTGAGTAGTTCAAGCGAGCACTCAAGGAAGTAGTTCAGGCGTGCACTCAAGTCAGAAGTTCAAATTTTTATTGTTAAAATACAGCTAAGGTTTAGTTTACAGTCAGACCAGCATGTAGACTAGGGGACAAGGTGTTCTCTATAGAAGATTATAAACCCACAAATATAATCTGTATGAGGTGCAAATATATTTCACTTCGTTTGAAACATACATGTATACTGTATTTCACCCTCATCAACATTACATTGTATTTTTCTTGCAGTTCATGGTTTAATATAGATCTATTTATTATCCTTTCTCTATAGGAGTTTTGGGAACTCGATGGGTAACTGCCTAGCAGACCGAGATTATCTAAAGTGTATCAACAGAGCCCCTAAACCAGTGAGTACACACTATACAGGGTTGTAATAGGATATATTAATGGTTGTATTGTTGCACTATGTACATAGTGAGGTCACTTTTGCACTAAATCTTTTGACTAGGTGTTTATATTTGTCTCTCTCTGTAAAACACTTTCAGAGGAGTGATGCATTATAATACATGATGTATCCAGGGATTTACAATAACATGCATGCTTCTTCATGGAACAGACCTATATCTTCCATGAGCAGTGATTGCACAATCTAAAAATTTGAAAGCAATTTCATTCCCAAGTAACTATTAGCCCTGCAGTGATCAAACTTGCAGTGATAATTTATGTACACTAGTCTTATAGACTGTCTTCATCTAACCCCCATTTTCTACCAATAGATGATTGATTAGTTCAAGTTTTTGGCCTGGGTCTTTTCACAAGTAAAATAATGCCAAAATTGCAAAACTGTTATGCTTAAAATAATTCTTAAGTGATTTTTTTTTAAACTTTGATCTTTATAATTGCAGACAGCTAGAGTATATGATCTAGAAGAAATGAGGAGGACAGAACAAGACGTGGCAATAGAACAGGCCAGGAAATCCTCTAATATCAGAAGACTGTCCAATCACAAGCTAGCTTCTGATCAGACCAATCAAAACCTTCCTAGTAATCTTAATATGGTGTCAACAACCAATCAGACGACAGATTCCAGAGACACAGGGATTGGTTCTAGAGACAATATAACAGCCACCACAAGTAACTCCTCTAATGAGAACTTATCTAAAAACATCACTTCACGAGAGACAACCAGAGTGTCGACAAACATGGAGAACATTCGTGTGACGGGGAGACAGAGTCTGCCCAGTAAGGAGAACATGAACCCCCAGGAGGTGGTGATCAAGACAGAGTGGATCTCAGCAGAGCTGGTGCTTCAGAAAGAGGAGGACCCACCCCCGCAGGAATTTGTCAGGAGGGGGTCACTGCCTCTCAATCACGGAGTGGGGACAGGAATGAACCTTAGACACAAGAGGACCCAGTCCACTCAGAGAGTGGAAAATGAACCCGTCAGTACAGGTTCTAGGTATGTAGACTAGAGCTACAGTCCACTAAGAGAGGTCAATACTACTAGGTATGTAGAGCTACAATCCACTAAGAGAGGTCAATACTGCTAGGTATGTAGAGCTACAGTCCACTAAGAGAGGTCAATACTGCTAGGTATGTAGAGCTACAGTCCACTAAGAGAGGTCAATACTGCTAGGTATGTAGAGCTACAATCCACTAAGAGAGGTCAATACTGCTAGGTATGTAGAGCTATAGTCCACTCAGAGAGGTCAATACTGCTAGGTATGTAGAGCTATAGTCCACTCAGAGAGTGGAAAATGAACCCGTCAATACAATCTAATTAAAATTATATGTTAGATCTGCTCGCATACTCGCTACACCAATATCTAACAACATCCCGTTGAGGGTTACGTCAGAGGTCAAATTCTATCAACCAATCAAATTGTCGCATGCAAAATCATCCTATATTGTTGAAGCCAATAAGTCTAGAGCCGTTCCGAATTTGACCTCTGACGTGACCCTCAATGGACTTTTACTAGAAGCGCTGACTTTTACAGTTGACGGCTTACTTGTACACTGTGACAATGTATGGAAGCTCTTTTACGATATAAATATTTAACTCGACGTTTAATTCAATGAATATAACAGATTTTTTAAATGCACATAAATTTGCACAAGTTGTCTTTGAAGGAAACGTTCACCACCCTACCCTAAACTCCAGGCCTATTAAAGTGTCCCTAACACCATACCTGTTAACATTTCAAAGGCTTTCTTGTCCATTTTCAATTCTGCACCTCCGTATATGACACATGTTTAAATGTCCAAGTAAACCGTCAACTGTTAAAGTCAGAGCTTCTCGTAAAAGTCCAATGGGATGTTGTTAGAAGTTAGTGTAGTGAGTATGTAAGCGGATCTATCATCTAATTTTAATTAGTTTGCCGTCAATGTATGTATCCTCTTAGAGAGTGGAAAATGAACCTGTCAGTATTGGTTCTTCATATGGAGAGCTGTCAAATTAGAAGAACTTAATAATATATAAAATTACCATGCTAGCCAATCGTTTGATTATCATTATAAACAACAACAAAAACAGAGTTATTCCTTACATAAATTTGACTCTGTAAACTAAGAGCTTGATCTAACCCCGATCCACTTTTTTTCTACGTTCCTTCTCTCCCTTCCTGCAAATGTTTTTTTTTGATGAAAAGATAACTTTATGAAGAAATCAAGTAATGTAACTCTTTATAGTTTTATCTGAATGATATATTTTATTTTTAACATATTAATCATGTTAATATATTTAATAGTTGTTTGCATTATTTCTACAATAAGCATGGGGTTCCATTCTAAGGTATAAAGAAATTGTTCAATTTATTTCTGTAGTAAGGATGGTGACAAGGAAGATCTTAAAGCCAAGCAAGAGAGATTACAAAGACAACAGCAAAAACAGCAGGAGTTCAAACAGAGGCTAACGGTCAAACAGACGGACAATACAGCCCTCAATATAATAGGTAATCACTGACAATACAGCCCTCAGTATAATAGGTAATCACTGACAATACTGCCCTTAATATTATAGGTAATCACTGACAATACAGCCCTCTGTATAAAAGATAATCACTGACAATACAGCCCTCAATATAATAGGTAATCACTGACAATACAGCCCTTAATAAAATAGGTAATCACTGACAATACAGCCCTCAATATAACAGGTTATCACTGACAATGCAGCCCTTAATATAATAGGTAATCACTGACAATACAGCTCTCAATATAATAGGTAATCATTGACAATACAGCCCTCAATATTATAGGTAATCACTGACAATACAGCCCTCAATAATAGATAATCACTGACAATACAGCCCTTAATATAATAGGTAATCACTGACAATACAGCCCTTAATATAATAGGTAATCATTGACAATACAGCCCTTAATATAATAGGTATTGAATCACTGAGAACACAGCCCTTATTAGGTAATCACTGACAATACAGCCCTCAGTATAATAGGTAATCACTGACAATACAGCCCTCAATATAATAGGTAATCACTGACAATACAGCCCTCAATATAATAGGTAATCACTGATAATTCTGCCCTCAATATAATAGTTAATCACTGACAATACAGCCCTCAATATAATAGATAATCACTGACAATACATCCCTCAATATAATAGGTAATCACTGACAATACAGCCCTCAATATAATAGTTAATCACTGACAATACAGCCCTCAATATAATAGATAATCACTGACAATACAGCCCTCAATATTATAGGTAATCACTGACAATACAACCTCAATATAATAGATAATCACTGACAATACAGCCCTCAATATAATAGATAATCACTGACAATACAGCTCTCAATCTAATAGGTAATCACTGACAATACAGCCCTTAATATAATAGGTAATCATTGACAATACAGCCCTTAATATAATAGGTATTGAATCACTGAGAACACAGCCCTTATTAGGTAATCACTGACAATACAGCCCTCAGTATAATAGGTAATCACTGACAATACAGCCCTCAATATAATAGGTAATCACTGATAATTCTGCCCTCAATATAATAGTTAATCACTGACAATACAGCCCTCAATATAATAGATAATCACTGACAATACATCCCTCAATATAATAGGTAATCACTGACAATACAGCCCTCAATATAATAGTTAATCACTGACAATACAGCCCTCAATATAATAGATAATCACTGACAATACAGCCCTCAATATTATAGGTAATCACTGACAATACAACCTCAATATAATAGATAATCACTGACAATACAGCCCTCAATATAATAGATAATCACTGACAATACAGCCCTCAATATAATAGATAATCACTGACAATACAGCCCTCAGTATAATAGGTAATCACTGACAATACAGCCCTCAATATAATAGATAATCTCACACAAATGCAAACCTCTGGTAAAACTGCAGGATTTTGTAGTATCATTTTTAGCTCACCTGAGCTGAAAGTTCAAGTGAGCTTTTCTGATCACCCGTTGTCCGTCGTCCGTCCGTCTGTCTGTCTCTCCGTCCGTCCGTCTGTAAACTTTTCACATTTTCAACTTCTTCTCAAGAACCACTGGGCCAATTTTAACCAAACTTGGTACAAAGCATCCTTAGGTGATGGGGAATTTAAATTGTTAAAATCAAGGGCCAAGTCCCTTTCCAAGGGGAAATAATCAAGAAAATACAAAAATAGGGTGGGGTCATTAAAAAATCTTCTTCTCAAGAACCACTGGGCCAGAAAAGCTGAAACTTATGTGGAAGCATCCTGGGGTAGTGTAGATTCTAAATTGTTAAAATCATGACCCCCGGGGGTAGGGTGGGGCCACAATAGGAAATCCAAGTTTTACATAGAAATATATAGGAAAAAACTTTAAAAATCTTCTTCTCAAGAACTATTCGGCCAGAAAAGCTGAAACTTATGTCGAAGCATCCTGGGGTAGTGTAGATTCTAAATTGTTAAAATCATGACCCCCTGGGGTAGGGCGGGGCCACAATAGGAAATCCAAGTTTTACATAGAAATTTATAGGAAAAAACTTTTAAAATCTTCTTCTCAAGAACCATTCAGCCAGAAAAGCTGAAACTTATGTGGAAGCATTCTAGGGTAGTGTAGATTCTAAATTGTAAAAATCATGACCCCCGGGGGTAGGGCGGGGCTACAATAGGGAAACCAAGTTTTACATAGAAATATATAGGAAAAACTTTAAAAATCTTTTTCTCAAGAACCATTTGGCCAGAAAAGCTGAAACTTATGTGGAAGCATTCTGGGGTAGTGTAGATTCTAAATTTTAAAAATCATGACCCCAGGGGGCAGGGTGGGGCCACAATAGGGAATCCAAGTTTTACATAGAAATATATAGGAAAATTTTTTTAAAAATCTTCTTCTCAAGAACCACTGGGCCAGAAAAGCTGAAACTTATGTGGAAGCATTCAGGGGTAGTGTCTAGATTCTAAATTGTAAAAATCATGACTCCGGGTATAGGGGGAGGCCACAATAGGGAATCCAAGATTTACATAGAAATATATAGGAAAAATCTTTAAAATCTTCTTCTCAAGAAGCATTGGGCCAGAAAAGCTCAAACTTATGTGGAAGCATTCTGGGGTAAGTGTAGATTTTAAATTTGCCAAATTATGACCCCTGGGGGTAGGGCGAGGCCACAGTAGAGAATCCAAGTTTTACATTGAAATATACATTGAAAAATCTTTGAAAATTTTCTTAAGAACCATTGGGCCAGAAAAGCCGAAACTTATGTGAATCTTGGGGTAGTGTAGATTCTAAGTTGTCCAAATCATAACCCCTGGGGATAGGGCTTGGTCACAATTGGTATTACGAAGGGGGGAAATCTGTTAAAGAACAGCATGGCCAAAGTTTCTCAGGTGAGCGATGTGGCCCATTGGCCTCTTGTTTTTATTTCAGATAACAGTTTTTAGAGTATTACTATTCCTGTCTTTAAAATTGTACTGCATATTATTAAACGTGTAATCAAGGCTTGATTTGCTACTCCTGCAACTGTTTTCTTCTTCAGGGGGGTGGGAGATTGAGTTTATGTATAAATTTGCTTTTTCCCCTTTGTAGGACCTCCTGTGGCAACCTCTACACCAGCCTTTAATGGACTTGGTCCTCCCATCCATGCCTCCAGTCCCAAGGTCATTCCAAAGTCACGACCCCAGAGCAGTTCAGAACCCTCCCCAAATCAACCAGAGCTCCTTCCCGAGGAAAACTTTGGTACGTACAAAAGAAGTATTGTTGTTTGTACAGTGGATTCCATTTAATCAGATAGCGGTTAAACGAATATTTCGGCTAATCTGATACAATATCAGAGCACAAAACCATTTCTTATATATATTTATTAATAATTTCACCTGATATTCTGATAGGAAAATATCGGATTTTCGTTTTATCTGATACAAATATTTCGCTTAGCATAGTGATTTTCATTATAATTGTCTTGTTCACACCTCTACCTTCCGTATGTAAATCCTTTGTTTACACAAGTTTGACACTTCCAGTCAAATTACGATAATGAGGGGATTAGTCACGGCTGAACGCACACCAGCACCTTACCTGTGTTAGCAGTGGGCACAGTAGATCAATATGTTTTGATAACAATCATTATGACCAGCTTGGGTGTTAATTTTGATCATTGATAATTGGCTTGTGTGCAATTTTGTTCAGCGTGAAATTTTGATTATTGAACTGTTCAGTTTGTGTATGACACTTCACATGCACCCATATAAATATACGTCTGAAAACAAATACAAATAAAGATAAAACAATAAACATTTTTTTATTTAATAATCAGCAATCCGGAAAAAAATGGTTTACGTAAAGAGTCATGTATTCAATCAACTTCCGTTTTCAAAAATAGAGGCCATCAATGAATGGGATGAATGTAAACAGGTGCTTGGTGCTAAATAAATATATAAAGATGAAAATAAGTTTCATACTGCAATTAAAAAGAAATTATTCATACAAAATCATATTGAACTTGTTATTAAATTACTTGAAATAATTCATTTCCTGACTTGGTACATTCATCAAACGAAAACGAAAGTGCAGGTACGTAATACAACCATGTTGAAATTGTTACTTATGTACTGTAGATTTGCCGTTTGTATGGCAAATATTGCAATCGGCTATTCCAATATTCGGCTATACAGTAAAACTATTCTGACAACCTGACTATCCGTATAAACGGGACCCACTGTAATAAAATTTACAGAAATTCCAACTTTGATTGTTGATGGTCAATTATTCAAAAACTATTATACAAAAGAATAAATTCAACATGTTCCATTTTACCCCCCCCCCCTTCTTCTTTTCAAGGTTTTCTTGAACATGTATCTTGAATTATCTTTAAATGAGGAAATGACCTAACCTCGACCTGACTTTTCAGTGGCCTAACCTTGAATGTTGGCCTCAGTCTGATCAGGTTAATTCTGAGTTAATAAGTTAACGTTTTGTATTCCAGAGGACACAGACCTTTGGAACAACTCCCTAGACATAGAGAGCATAGATCCATTTAGTGATAACACAGCAGTGGAGGGGGGCGGCAAGAAACCACTCAACAGAAGTAAGACCCTCTATACCTCCGAGTCCAAACCCTCAGGGCGCCCCAACACAATGACCAATCACTACCCTGTCACCAAGGCAACCGGTCAGTTACGACAGGTCACAAGTTACACAGGTATCAAATCCATAATGAGTGTAACCATAGCAACATAAAAGTATGTGAAGGCATATTCCTTATGTTCCTGCCCCCATAATATAAAAACTTTAAAAATTTCTCGACAACTATTCACAATTTCAGGGTTTGAACAGACCATAAAAAGTGCTTTGATTTTGACCCATTTATGAAAAATTGATTGAAAATGCTTAAATAGCAGATAAAAATGGTAGAACACTTAAATTTACATGTTAAATCCTCTAAAAGTGGTATAAAAATCTAAAAAGGGAATTTTTTTTACTATGTGATACCATAAATATACACGGTAGAAATTTTACTCTTGTTACATGTACATGTAAAGAAAATTGTTTTATTTGAATGTAATTTAAATTCTAAATCCAAGTACAAGACATTTAATATCCTTTATATACTGTAAACCAACTTTTATTCGCGACGACTTTATTTCGCGTTTTACTAGCCAGGGGGAAACTTGTTGGCGACGATTAATTTTGCGATCAGGCCTATGTAGATTCTCTTGTTAATAGACATATAGACTTTAAGGAACGGTTCGCGGCGAGAAATATTCGCGATGACGAGGCCCTCGGGAACTTCGCGAAAATTTCTCGCACGCGAATAAAAGTTGGTTTACAGTATTCAAGTCGGGAATAAAATAAAGGGTTGGAGATAAATATCTTGGTTTAGAGTAGTGTGAGGCCACAATTTTTCATTAGGAATATTAAAGATTTTGTTCATTTGTTTTTCAATAACCACATATAAGAATCATTAATTTGCAAATACTTTTGAAATGTTACATAGAATTTTTTTTTTCAATAACCATTAATTTGCAAACACTCTTAAAATGTCAGAATTTTATTTTTCAAATGATAGATCTTTGGATTGAGTTGGCTTAAATCAAAATCAAATTTTAATGCAGTGCATGGATAAGGAAAAAGATTTTTTTTTCCATATCTATAAAGCCATTATACTAGTACATGTAGTCCTATTCATGATATTGAAGCACCCCCACGTTGTGTGGATCCAGTGTATATTTAGAACATGTTGAGATGTGGTCACAACTTTCGAATATATATAACAAATTGAATATTTTAAAAGTTCTACTAGGAACAAGACTTAATTTACTCAGTGTAGTAATTTAGCCCATAGGCCTCTCGTTGTGGGTCATAAAGTACTGTAGTTACTGGTTATAAAGGTTATTTTATCCAATCAAAAGGTGCAAAATTAAATGGAGTTGCTTCACCTAGGGAAAATCTTTAAGGAATGAAGCTAATTTCAACTTATGTTATCCGATATAACATAACTTGGGGCAGTTTACGCTTTATAAACCGCGAAGCGGTTTATAAGAAAGCGTAAACTGCCCCAAGTTTTGTTATATCGGATAACATAAGTTGAAATTAGCTTTATTCCTTATAATTTAATTTCAGTGTAGACAATGAGACAATATTTCCTCCAGAAAAAGCTTCAAATTGAGCAATGTTTTAAAAGTAACGTTAAGCGGAGTAATACGTTTTTGACGTAACTCATTGTGACGTAGGCAAGTTATGTTATCCAAAATATTATATGTTCCTCTGAATGATTCAGCCAATGAAATTGCTCCATACGTGTGAAATTAAATTATTTCAAATTAATTCAGACTATTGTGTTAATGCATACAGGTATATGATGCTTTGGTTAAGATGAGCTATATTTTAAGTCAGTATGGCAGTTAAAAAGACAACAGAAGTTTAAAAGACAGACAATAAGTTCCTAAATAATATGTAATTTTTTTCAAGATTTTGTCATTGAAGAAATGCAACTTTTACAAGTTAACTCACAAAAATTTGAGGTACAGTAACTTACTGGGCATTTGTGTCAGATACCAGGAGACGGTGTTGCCTATAAAATCCATTTGGAAATAACTTGAATTGCCAAAATCAAAAATTTTTACCATTGTAAATTTTTAAAGACAGCTAAAAAACCACGTAAGAAATCACAGGGTAATTATAATTTTAAATATTTTTTATATATATTACAAACATAAACAAAAAAAATTTGACCTTATTGAGCTTTTGCCTGACATTAGTCCTGATCTTGTTTTGTTTCCAGATGAAGTCAGCAGTGTACAGAAGAGAAGAAGGGTGGATGTCTGACTGGAGAGTTATATAGACACAAGTATGTGGATGGAATCGGCCTTAAACATTGTGTGACAGAAATAGACTGAGGCTCCTACGGGTATATAGAGCTCAGGGAAGGTTACCTCTGTGTGTTACATAGTGTCTCTACTGTCAAAGATAAAGAGAAATTTAAAATTTGTAATAAGATTATTACAATGATGAAGTTGTAAAATTGAGGTGTTGATGAAAGATATCTAACCAATGATCCCAGATCATCTTATTTGGATTTTGACATTACAATCATTATAAGCATAAGTAAACTGTCTGTTTAGGAGTGTGGTATTACTAGTATTAGCTGTTTAGTAATTCAACAATATTTAAAAAGTTTAGCACGAAACAATCAGGGAAATGTTTGGCTATTTATTAGAACTTAACAAAGGACACTGTGATGAAAATTTATAGATCAATGCATGTGCATTTCATTAAATTGAATTCTTTTTTAAATTAATAAATGAATTGTTGTTTTAGGGTCAATAAATTTTAAGACCTTCAGATCTAGTTTAATGAATTCAATATTAGCTAAGATTATTCAATCTCATTATTACTATTCACCTTTTGTGCAGTTGTTTATTGTATAATGTACTTTGAGTATTTATTAATGTTATTTATATAAATTAAATTGTCTGGCTCCAGAGGGACTTGTTCACAGGTGTCTCTAGAATTAATTATTGTTAATAAATCCCAATATTACACTCAGAAATTTTTGTTTTGGTATAAATAAATGCTAAACATTATGAAACAAGAAATGATCATGACCATAGCTTTAAATTGTGAATACAATACTGCAAGGCTATTTATTCCTCAGCCAGGAACAATCTCTTTAATTATTTAATTTTATTAAATCAGTAGAATGATTAGCCCTAAGGAATTCCATTCCTAGAATCAAATTCTCTACCCTTAATGCCTAGGTCACATTTAAGCTGATGGTCGTCCACCAAATTTTTCTGGTATCGTCGGCTGAAAGATCATGATAGGCCAACACAAATATGGGGCGACACGGAGCAGTCACATTAATTCCTAGGAACACTGATGACGTGGATAAATAACAAAACAAATATTTTTTCTTCAGAAACCAGCACTATATTTCACAGATCTATATTAAGATAGGTAAAATTAATGAAGTGAGAGAATTTTGTAAGATTGTGACAAAATGTTAGAATGTGTACAAAATTCTATTATATAGAATTACATAGAAAACAACAAAAATATGCATACCTAACATGCCTAAGCAGCAAAGAAAAACTTAAGATTTCTTTATATTTTACACATTTATTATTTAAGTCATTTCCGTTCAAAAAAAATATATCAATGCATGCCTCAAAATTTTGTTTGTGTTATGTATCCTTAATAGGTTAGATATTTGCAAGTGGGCCAATCGTCGCACGGTCATCGAGCCCTAAGCTACAGTTTGATTTTAACAGTCCTTCGAAGTTTTGGAAACCCTTAATTATTGTCGAACGACGGGTGACTGACTTTATAAACTGACCGCCAATGGTCGTACAGTGATCGACGGTTGGTCAACAGATTGTTCAGTTGAAGAAATTGGACTTCGACACAAAAAATTATAACTTGGACTGATGCACACAAAATTGGTCGGCCAACAAAAAAGAGGTCAAAATCGTGCAAAACAACAGGCTATGAACTGCCAACTGTCACCTGAAGAATCCCATTTTTATGCGCCCGGATCGATAGATCCCGGGCGTATATTGTTTTTGTCCTGTCTGTTTGTCTGTTTGTCTGTTTATCTGTTTGTCTGTTTGTCTGTTTGTCTGTCTGTCTGTTGTCAACTTTAACCTTGGCCATAACTTTTGAACAATAAAAGATAGAGACTTCATATTTGGTATGCATACTCCACTAATAGAGTCCTTTCAAATGACATCAAGGTCAATGACCTTGTGACCTTGACTGTGACCTATATGCTAAAAATAGCTTTTTCCACTGTTTGTCATAACTTTTTAACCATAGGAGATAGGGACTTCATATTTGGTATGCATACTCCACTAATAGAGTCCTTTCAAATGACATCAAGGTCAATGATCTTGTGACCTTGACTGTAAACTATATGCTAAAAATAGCTTTTTACACTTTTTGCCATAACTTTTGAACCATAGGAGATAGGGACTTCATATTTGGTATGCATACTCCACCGATTAAGTTCTTTCAAATGACACCATGGTCAATGACCTTGTGACCTTGACTGTGACCTATATGCTAAAAATAGCTTTTTCCACTGTTTGTCATAACTTTTGAACCATAGGAGATAGGGACTTCATATTTGGTATGCATACTCCACCGATAAAGTCCTTTCAAACGACGGCAAGGTCAATGATCTTGTGACCTTGACTGTGACCTATATGCTAAAAATAGCTCTTTACACTTTTTGCCATAACTTTTGAACCATAGGAGATAGGGACTTCATATTTAGTATGCATACTCCACTGATTAAGTTCTTTCGAATGACACCATGATCAATGACCTTGTTACCTTGACTGTGATCAATATGCTAAAAATAGATTTTTTGAACTTTGTTGCCGCCGGGCGCATAGTGTTTCACAAACACATCTTGTTGCTTCAAAAACCGTCGGCTATTGGTCGTTTTCAGAAATGTGATGGGGGTTTAAATGTCCATCAGGTACATATTAAATACTCTGATATTAAATTAAAGCACTTTACAGTAAAAAAGGATTGCCCCCGTTTTACCATTTATTATTACCTCAATTTTGTTTTAATTGATGTATGGATGCCCATTTTGATTTCCTTTTATATTGTGAGATCAAGGTTATAACTGGCTCAATCAGAAAACGATAGATGTACTTGTGTGGAATATATAGCATTTCTTGAGAAAAATACGGGTACAAATCATTCCACTTTCACCTCACTTGTTTCTTTCCCTTATCCAAAAATTCAGAGGAATTGTTTTTAGCTGTGTTTATTTACAGATGGTTATTTAACTCGAGAAATTTGCTTTTATAACATTGACCACATTTCAGACATTTTTTAGCTGTAACAGTATGTAGTGTTATTACACTCTTTCTGTTACCCAGTACACAACTCTAAGGAGATTATATTTGACTAAGTGCATGCTGTGACCTTAAAAGGAAACTACAGCTAACAAACTTTAATAAGCAGCTGAAGTGGTTCTTTACTTTTAAGTGGTGTCTGGGCTCCTGCAGGGTTCCATACTAAGTCCTTGCCTGTGTATTATAAACAAGGTCATCTCTGTATTTAAAGGTACATGTATTTCAATCCTGGGGCCAGCTTTAACCAATTATGAGATTTTTTCCCCTTCGGTTTCTTGAATGTGTGGAATAAAACTTTTTAAGAAAAAGTTTGTTTTGAGGTAATACGCATAAGAAAATCTCGGTCACTTCTCCCCTGTGGCCTTAAGAACCATCACTGTCTCCTTCTGAAGCTTCAGTCAGTGGCTGAAAGTGCTATCACTACAATGTAATCGGGACCTTTTTCTTGTATAACTAGATTAATTAAGAAAGGGATTGATGTTATATTACGTATTTTGTCCCACGTGTAAACACTCGCTAATCTGACAGAGTTATTGTTTTATTTCAAGGAAGATGTTAATTAGATTATCTCATTGTAGCCTTGTGTTTATAGGATTTATATTAATTGGAATCTTCTCTTTCTCACAAGGTAAGCCTCCTTTCTTTTAAACTGTGTAAATGTTAATCTGTTATCATATGATGGTATTTTGTAGTAAGTACATTACTGCATGCTGATCAACTTTATGTAGCTGTTACTAGTGTTAGATTATAATACACCTTTTTTACTAAGAATTAATTATAAAAAAAAAAAAATGATAATAAGACATATGCTGTTACAATCTTATCATTAAAAACTATTCCATATTGTTTAGTGTTTAAAATTATTCTTTTGCCAAGCCATGGATAGCAGTTCCAGTGCATTTGCTATATCCATTTTTTTTTGATATAAAAAAAAATTCATTTGCGTAAAAATTGAGTACATGTTTTGTACATGTAAATAGGTCAAGTGGGATTCTTAGTTGTCCTCGTGCCTCTAATGTCCTCACATTTGTGTAGGTCAGTAGCACTGTGGAGCTTTGTAATTATAATAATGGGACCCAATGAATGTCTCTTATGATACCCCCACAAAGGGAGGTATATACATGTATAAGAATCATCTTGTCCATAAGTCTGTCTGTCTTACAATTAGATTGTCTACTGTGCCATTTTGTTATGGCATTGTAAAGCTTAAGGTTAAACGTCTATGGACATGATGGAATGAATTGTTAGTGATATTCAATTAGCGATCTCAAACCATTGCTATTTTTTTAAATAGAGAAACATCCACATTTAAGTCAAAGATTATTATGCGGCAAGCATGTGTCAGTTTAAATCAAGAGCATTTTGCCAACTTTTTCATCACATTTAGAAAATTAAATATGAACCCTTCCAATATAACGCAGGGGGTATAATTTTGTAAGCCACTTTACGTAGTCCCTCTAGTATTTTCCAGCTGCTATAGACAAAGTACTACTAGAGACCTGCTGCCTGGAGGGGACCAAGTATGCCACGGACTCCTCCACCTGTGAGGGGTACTCCCAGTCTGTCCCGGGGGTCAGGTTAGGGGACCAGCCCAGCTGTACGTTCATCCTGAAGGTGTGTTGTATGAAGCAGAAGCAGCGAGACCAGTGTCAGAACGGGAAGTCAGACGCCGCGAGTTACGGCAGGTGTGCCATCAGGGACGATGTGTTTGGAGCGGAGCAGTACAAAGTAAGTTACTGACACAGTGTCAGTGTGTGCGATAACTGTACAAAGTAAGTTACTGACACAGTGTCAGTATGTGTGATAGCTGTACTTAGGTTTTTTCTGATAAAGCCATTTGTTCAATCACTTAGTTGTTGATTTTAGAGGGAAAAAACTAGTATTTTTTTGATTGAACAGGTATTTGTTCATGACAATGGGAATGTTGACAGTTTTTATAAGGAATGTTCAACTAGTCACTCTCAGGAATGTTGAGTCAGTTATTGTTGATTGCATTAGGAGTGTTGTCTTTTTTTCAACAGGAATGTTATCACTATGATGTCACTATTTATTAGGAATGTTGTCACTGCTGTCAGTTATGGCTGATCTCATGTCTTTTTTTATTAGGAGTGTTGTTGCTTTTTATCAGGATGTTGTCACTATTTATTGTCACTCTTTACTAGGAGTGTTGTCTTTTTTCACTAGGAATGCTGCCACTGCTGTCAGTTAGGACTGATCTCGCGGTCGATGAGTGGAGACTGCTCACTCCTTCAGAAGGAGAGTTTCGGGGGACCCTGTGATGCCATGTTTAAGGAGTGCTGCCTGGGGACATCTGCACTTAACAGTAAGGCTCATTCTCTATCACTCAGTGTTATAGTGAACCAATATATTATTAATAGCATATTCTATGTCTTGGACTTGTTGTGAAACTTTCAAATATTTCTTGCAACATGATTTTAAAAATGTTTGTACTGTATCTTTTTTTTTACAACATTTCCACAGATTTAAGATTTATTATTGTAAAGATGGAAATTTATATGTTGGAGTAATTTACTGTTATTGTAAATATTCAATAAAGATTTCACCAAAATATGTTCTCCCCACAAACAAACTTCTGATGCATTTTTTCAGCCACTTGTGCATTAAAAATTCCATCAGAGCCTAACTTATGAAGTTAAATATAATTTTCACGTCTTAGGTACAACAGCAGTAAATGATATAGATGAGTGTGCCCTCCACAGCGGTCATATTTGTGGACAGATCTGCGTGAACACGGTCGGTAGTTACCGCTGTGAGTGTAACTCTGGATACACGCTACACTCTGATGGCAGTACCTGTATTGAGGATGAACGTAAGTCTTAGATAAAAAATATAATATATAAATTATAAATGTGTTTTAGTACATGACATATAAAGACATTTGTTCATACAGTATTATAGAAATGTTACCACCTGTTCTCTGCTGAATCACAGTCAAACTGCATATCTCAGACCTTGAAGAAGTATTTCTCAGAATTTATATTATTTTAGCTATCCGCTGTGACAGGTATAACCTGTGTTCTTTATTTTAGCTATTGGTTGTGACAGGTACAATCCGTTTTCTTTATTTTAGCTATCGGTTGTGACTGGTATTACCCCTGCTCTTTATTTTAGCTATCGGTTGTGACAGGTACAACCCTTGTTCTTTATTTTAGCTATCGGTTGTGACAGGTATAACCCATGCCAGCAGCGGTGTGTCGAGGACGAGAATGGGGTCAGCTGTGCCTGTAACCAAGGATACCAACTACTGGCAGACGGCATCAACTGTCAAGGTCAGTTAGTACCTCAGATTTCTGTGTGTTTTAGGAATCATATGGTGATTTCAACTAATTTCACATTAATTTTGTTAATTTATTTAATGTATTTTTTTAATTAATTCAAAGTGATTTAGAACATGTAAATGTAAAAGTGACATATTTAAGGATAACAGGTATAGATGATTGTTTTAATACCTAACACCCTTTTTAATACCCAGATATTGATGAGTGCACCTCTGGGTCAGCCAATTGCCCACAGGGACAGGGCTGTTATAACCAGGAGGGGACGTACAGATGCTGGCCCTGCCCCCAGGGTCAGGAGGTGGACCCTGTCTCTAAGGCCTGTCGGTCCGTCCCACGGTGCACCACCGGCTACTTCTATGACAGAGTGGCTGGGTCATGTGCAGGTGAAGAAAACATTTTGTGTTCTTTAGGATTTGATAAGTAGGATTAAAGCAGTTTAGTCCTGATTTGGATTTAAACCCAATCTGTTGATTAAAAATGACCATCTAACCATTTGTCTCTCAAATCTTAGGTCTTCATTAAAAGGTTAGGCTGTTTATTTAGCACTAGTTTACATTAAACATTTATTGACTGAGTTTGAGAGCAACATGCGTTTTGTTGGACCCAAGAACCAAACTGTCAGTCTGAGGCCGTTAGGCCGAAGGCAGACAGTTTGGTTGAGGGTCGACAAAACTCATTTTGCCTGAGAACTCAGTTGCAGCATGCCTGAGAACTCAGTCAATAAATGTTTTGTAATATCTTTCATTTAATTTTAAATTATTTTATTTGACATATATGTATTATGTACTGTCTTCCGTGATGTTACCTCAGGTCCGTCACTGTTGAACGCCAACAAATGAAAATGAGATTAGGCTTAGCCCATTCTGTGACATAAGTGGTCCAACATCTCATCCATTTTTAGCTCACCTGAGCCGAAGGCTCAAGTGAGCTTTTCTGATCACATTTTGTCCGTCGTCCGTCCGTCTGTCTGTCTGTCCGTCTGTAAACTTTTCACATTTTCGACTTCTTCTTAAGAACCAATGAGCCAATTTTAACCAAACTTGGTACAAAGCATTCTTGGGTGAAGGGGAATTCAATTTGTTAAAATGAAGGGCCAAGTCCCCTTACAAGGGGAGATAATCAAGAAAAGACAAAAATAGGGTGGGGTCACTAAAAAATCTTCTTCTCAAGAACCACTGGGCCAGGAAAGCTGAAACTTATGTGGAAGCATCCTTGGGTAATGTAGATATTAAATTGTTAAAATCATGACCCCCAGGGGTAGGGCGGGGCCACAATAGAGAATCCAAGTTTTACATAGAAATATATAGAACAAATCTTTAAAAAATCTTATTCTCAAGAACCACTGGGCCAGAAAAGCTGAAACTTATGTGGGAGCATCCTTGGGTAGTGTAGATATTAAATTGTTAAAATCATGACCCCCGGGGGTAGGGCGGGGCCACAATAGGGAATCAAAGTTTTACACAGAAATATATAGAACAAATCTTTAAAAATTTTCTTCTCAAGAATAACTGGGCCAGGAATGCTGAAACTTACGTGGAAGCATTCTTGGGTAGTGTAGATATTAAATTGTTAAAATCATGACCCCCGGGGGTAGGGCGGGGCCTCAATAGGGAATCCAAGTTTTACATAGAAATATATAGAACAAATCTTTAAAAAACTTCTTCTCAAGAACCACTGAGCCAGGAAAGCTGAAACTTATGTGGAAGCATCCTTGGGTAGTGTAGATATTAAATGGTAAAAATCATGACCCCCGGGGGTAGGGCGGGGCCACAATAGGGAATCCAAGTTTAACATAAAAATATATAGAACAAATCTTTAAAAATCTTCTTAGAAACCACTGAGCCAGGAATGCTGAAACTTATGTGGAAGCATGCTTGGGTAGTGTAAATATTAAATTTGTTAAAATCATGACCCCCGGGGATAGGGCGGGGCCATAATCATCTTCGCTAGCCAAGGGTTTCTGATACGCTACTCTCCTCATAAACCCTTGGCCTACGGTGTTCATGAAAATCAGGATTTTTTTCCAGAGTTCTGATTGGATTCTAGGACACACCTGTCGACCAATCATCAATTGTTTTTTGTAAATGACGATATTTGCGTTCGGGATACTTCTTGACTCTTTAATCTCGTAATCTAGACCCTTGGCTAGCGAAGATGGGTCACAATAGGGAATCCAAGTTTTACATAGAAATATAAAGAACAAATCTTTTAAAAATCTTCTTCTCAAGAACCACTGGGCCAGGAAATCTGAAACTTATGTGGAAGCATCCTTGAGTAGTGTAGATTCTAAAGTTTTAAAATAAAAAAGGGAAGGGGGTTGTTGGGCATGATAGGTATAGCAAGAGGGGGAATCTGGTAAAGATCTGCATCACCCAAGTTACTCAGGTGAGCGATGTGGCCCATGGGCCTCTTGTTTTTATGCCCGCTCACTAATACATTAGAAATGTTAGACTTCCTTTTGTATGGATTTGTATAGGAACAAAGAACTATATGCAGTATTTTGCATATATTTGCCCCCCACAAAAGTCTTATTTTGAAAACTTCCTGAAATGTGCTAAATTCAATAAATTGTATGAGAAATATAAATTAACAGAACATAGAGAATCCAAGTTTTACATAGAAATATATAGAACAAATCTTTAAAAAATCTTCTTCTCAAGAAGATTGTTTCAAAGTAGTTAATTCACATTTTTTTGTTTTTATGACATCACAAACTAGTCCGATTTTATATCCCTTTTTGCAGAAAGAGGACAAAATGGATAAAATTTCAACAAATTTAGCTTTAAAATTTACAGAGCGCAAGTTTGTTTAGGAACAATATTTACATATTTCATTGATATTATCATTCTACACATTATATCAAAATATTGAGCCTGAAAACACATGCGCTCGATGACTTTTGCTCAAAATATCGACGAAATATGTACATTTTTCTGTAGAATTCATAAAAAACTGAAATTTACGTCATGTTTGTGACGTCATTTCGAACATATGACGTCATTACTTATGAAAATATTCAGTGCGTTGAAGTCAGCATATACCTCCCTATTTAAGAACATAATTAAATATTTCTCCATCAAAGTTTGATTTGGGGGGCAAATATCGGTTATTACCGAATAAAGTTCTTTTTAAAGGATATAACAAAACAAAACATTTTTTGACAATTTATTGCTTTATATGTTTATATGCAGTTCCAATCATTACAGAAAGAAATTACATTATCTTCATACATACACGTACACTGTTTTGTTTTGCTATGTTTTTAGATACATATTGAAACATTTTACGTACAGTAAGCTGATTGGTTGATTTTTATTGTTTTCTGACAGATGTTGATGAGTGTGCCACTGAGAGAGACACCTGTCTATCCTCCCAGAGGTGTGAGAACACGGTGGGATCATTTGTCTGTAGGAGGATCCTGGGGTGTGGGACAGGTTACTCCATGATGGAGGAAACTCAAACCTGTAAAGGTACGTAGGGAGACTCTGGTCTCAAACTCAAACCTGTAAAGGTACACAGGGAGATTCTGGTCTCAAACTCAAACCTGTAAAGGTACACAGGGAGATTCTGATCTCAAACTCAAACCTGTAAAGGTACACAGGGAGATTCTGGTCTGTATAAACTCAAACCTGTAAAGGTATGCAGGGATGTTCTGGTCTCTATAAACTCAAACCTGTAAAAGTACACAGGGAGATTCTGGTCTCAAACTCAAATCTGTAAAGGTACACAGGGAGATTCTGGTCTCAAACTCAAACCTGTGAAAGTACACAGGGAGATTCTGGTCTCAAACTCAAACCTGTAAAGGTACACAGCGAGATTCTGGTCTGTATAAACTCACACATGTAAAAGTACACAGGGAGATTCTGGTCTCAAACTCAAACCTGTAAAGGTATGCAGGGATGTTCTGGTCTCTATAAACTCAAACCTGTAAAGGTACACAGGGAGATTCTGGCCTCAAACTCAAATCTGTAAAGGTACACAAGGAGATTCTGGTCTCAAACTCACACATGTAAAGGTACACAGGGAGATTCTGGTCTCAAACTCAAACCTGTAAAAGTACACAGGAAGATTCTGGTCTCAAACTCACACATGTAAAGGTACACAGGGAGATTCTGGTCTCAAACTCAAACCTGTAAAAGTACACAGGGAGATTCTGGTCTCTATAAACTCAAACCTGTAAAGGTACACAGGGAGATTCTGGTCTGTATAAACTCAAACCTGTAAAGGTACACAGCGAAATTCAATGGTCTCTGTATTTCAAATGAAACTTCTCTATTTATAAATACAGCCAAACCTCTTTTATCTCAAACTCCATGGGACCCTATTGGAGAATTTTAAATATCAGGGCTAAAATACTAGAGCAATATGTGGTTTTGACTTCCAAATCACTTTGACTAAGTCTTATATAGGGAATTTGAAATATCAATGTTCGAGGTTCAGTGATTGACAAGCATCCTAAACATGTGCAGATGTAATTTTAGATGAGCACAAAACTATATCTGAGACCTGTTCAGCAGAGCAAACGTTTGCAAGCCCTAGTCAAAATTCCTTATACCTCCAATAGAAATGTTCGCGAGCGCTCGCGAACGTTCCCTCTGCTGAACAGACCTCTGGTATTTTTTAAGTTACATAATTGTTAATGTGTAATTTCAGACATAGATGAGTGTTTGCTGGGCACACACAACTGTCCCTCTGGTTATGATTGTTTTAACATGGACGGTACGTTCCGATGTCAGAAGCCCACCTGCCAGAGAGGGCACCGCTTCTCCTCCTCCACCGGCCAGTGTGAGCCCATACAGTGTCCACGGGGCAGAGAACCAGACTCTAATGGGATGTGTGTTGGTAAGTAATCACACTCCACAGTATTATTCTGGATGTATAGAGTACAATTAATTTTAAAAGTTTCTGTTTAATCAAGTGGAAAATAGTTTTTTGTTTGTCTGATGAAACTGAACAGGACAAAAGAAGACAGGCATACTGCAGATATTTTTATGCGCCCGAATTTTTTCGGGGCGCATATTGTTTTTGTCCTGTCTGTTTGTCTGTTTGTCTGTTTATCTGTTTGTCTGTTTGTCTGTCTGTCTGTTGTCAACTTTAACCTTCGCCAAAACTTTTAAACCGTAAGAGATAGAGACTTCATATTTGGTATGCATACTCCTCTAATAAAGTCCTTTCAAATGACATCAAGGTCAATGACCTTGTGACCTTGACTGTGACCTTTATGCTAAAAATAGCTTTTTCCACTGTTTGTCATAACTTTTTAACAATAGGAGATAGGGACTTCATATTTGGTAGGCATACTCCACTAATAAAGTCCTTTCAAAGGACGACAAGGTCAATGATCTTGTGACCTTGACTGTGACCTGTATGCTAAAAATAAAAATAGGTTTTTTTTCTGCAAACTTTAATCTTTGCCATAACTTTTGAACAATAAGAGATAGAGACTTCATATTTGGTATGCATACTCCACTAATAAAGTCCTTTCAAATGACATCGAGGTCAATGACCTTGTGACCTTGTCTGTGACCTATATGCTAAAAATAGCTTTTTCCACTGTCTGTCATAACTTTTTAACCATAGGAGATAGGGACTTCATATTTGATATGCATACTCCACTATTAAAGTCTTTTCAAATGACAACAAGGTCAATGATCTTGTGACCTTGACTGTGACCTATATGCTAAAAATAGCTTTTTACACTATTTGCCATAACTTTTGAACCATAGGAGACAGGGACTTCATATTTGGGATGCATACTCCACCGATTAAGTGCTTTCAAATGACACCATGGTCAATGACCTTGTGACCTTGACTGTGACCAATATGCTAAAAATAGATTTTTTGAACTTTGTTGCCGCCGGGCGCATAGTGTTTCACAAACACATCTTGTTTTTACTGAAAATTCATTAACTTCTTCAAAATACTTTTATCATGTTTATAGCTTTATTTTCCTCTGTGTGAAATACTGTATCTAATAATTGAATAATATTAAACATTTGCTTATAAAGATGCTATATATTAAGTTCTATTTCTTTTTTGTACAGACATTAATGAGTGTCAGCAGCCCGGGATCTGTCCAGCCTCCGCTCGCTGCGTCAACACCTACGGATCGTACCGCTGTATACCGAGCACTTCCTGTCCTCAGGGTCATCAGATCGATCCCGTCACTAAGGCCTGTATAGGTAATAGGTCATCTCTAAGGTAAAATGGGTCAACTGACATTTAACTTCTCTGTTAATCAACACTGCCTATACACAAATTTAAATTGTATTAATTCAGTGAGTTGTTGAGTAAATTTTTGAGCATCATTGCCTTTACCCTGTGTTTTTTCAGACATTGATGAGTGTGCCAGAGGAGTGCACAACTGTCAGAGTGATCAGGAGTGTGTTAACACGGCGGGAAGTTTTGGATGTACCTGTGGGGCGGGGTACAGGAGAGATTCTCAAGGTCGATGTGAAGGTCAGCAGGTTTTTCCTTCTTTATGTAATGGATATATGCCGAATACTGTTCTATATGTAAAATTATCAGACTGTTTGAGGGCCGTTAGGGCCGAAAACTGTCTGATAATTTTACATATAGAATAGTACGAGGCATATATCTTACTTAAAACATTGCCATTTAAATGTCCAAAAATTACCAGGAGGAGTCCGATAATAACACAATGAGAGTTTAGGAATCCATTGTTTTCTACCCGTCTGATAAGTAGATAAAAGAAATGAGACGGTGAAAAGTGAGTGAACTCTTGTTTCATTAATTCCATTCATTCAATGGCAGTCGTTTCGTTTAGCAGGACAGTGGTCCGGTGGTGAAAGATTTTTTTTTGGGGGGGGGAACATTTTTATTTATGATGTGCATAAATTGACATTGATACTGACAAAATTTTGGGTAATATTTTAACCATCACCATGGAAAGTAAAATGCGGATTTTTACCCTAGCTGAAATTTTAGCTTAGATGATGAAAATTCTCAGGTTTTGAAAGTGTGGCCATCATGGAACAAACATAAAAGGAGATTGCAGAATCTTTTTTCAGAAATGGATTTAAATTCGCTTATTAAAAGTGCTGAATCAAAAATTTTTTTAAAGAGTGGAAAGTATTAATGTTGTGGAAGGTTTAAACTCGGATTTCTCTTCATGGATTTGCTATTTTATAGTGTGATCAACTTAATTTCCTTGCGTTTGGTTTCCCCCTTTTTTTCCTAACATTTTTATTGGGGGTTTCTGGACATATTTAATCTTAATTTCACTCTTCTTTTTGTTTTTTAAATACCGTCCGATTTTGTTATCATTGGCGTCCGATAATATATTATCAGACTGGTAATTATTATTATCGGACGGCTACAGGTAAAGTTTTAGACTGCAAGAACAAAGGCTTGACGTCACAGCAATGTTTTAAGATACTCTTATAGGAGGATCTTGCTCTGTTATCAAAGAAATATGTCTTGCAATGAAAAGGCTGGCATTTTATACCACAACAGGCTGTTTTAACTTCTATGCTCTGATCTGTTTTCTTAAAAATGGCAGCTTTATGTAAGCTTCAGCCTGAAAAAGAGTAAGCAGTAAACAGGTGTGGCCCTGTACATTTGAAAGCCTTAGTTACATCAATACCATGAAAAAAAACATTGATAAAACTTTCTTTCTGTTCTGAAACAATACTTTTGTTGTACACAACTTACATGTATTTCAATTTTGGATTTTTAAAAATTACTTTGATTTGGACCTGCTGCTTTTATTACAGATATAGATGAGTGTGCGTTTGGTAACATCTGTCCGTACAATGGAGTTTGTGAGAACACGCCTGGTAGTTACAAATGTAACTGTAACCC